AAAAACTAATTATTTGAATAGTTAATAAGTAAATTTTATTAACATTTGAATGATGATTATATTGCAAATTTTCAAAATTTGCTCTATATGAATACAACAAAATAAATTATTCACAAACAACAAAAAACTTTTCTACAGACAAATTAATACCAAATCCACTACTGATGTCCAACATAATGACATGCCAAGTAAAGAAGAAGTCACAAATTATTGGTCTTTGGTCTACTACTGTCAAACACAATGATGATACAGACTGGATCAAAAAGGAGAGCAAAGACATGCAGGACACACCTAGTAAGCAGAAAGCACACAACTGGACAACACCTGGTATAGACAACAGCAATAATTTTTGGTATAAAAAATTCAATCCTGTACCAGGAACTAGCTAAACATTTAACACATATCATCAACAATCCATAACATATGCCAAATTTTCTCACACTAGGCATCACCTACATGAAACAAAAAACATTAATAACAAAGATGCTGCACAGTACAGACCAATTACATGTTTTCCAACACTACAAGATTCTTACCTCTTGCATTGCAAACAAAATATACAATTATATTGATTAATACAACATTCTTACAGAACAACAAAAAAGGCTGCTGTTGAAACCACAAAGGTTGCAAACAAATACTACTCATTGACTCTGTTTTCCTATGACAAGTTCATAAGCAACACAGAAGTATACACATGACATACATTGATTACAGAAAAGCATTCCACAGTGTCCCACACACTTGGCTGCTGCACAAACTTCACATCTATAAAATTCATCCCCAACTCATTAGTTTCTTTGGTTTTACCATGATTCACTGAAGAACAAATTACTTCTTAACCACCATAACATTTACATAAAAAGAAATCTAATATACATTAAGTGAGGAATTTTTGAAGGAGATTCCTTCAGTCCTCTTTGGTTCTGCCTTGCACTTAACCCTTTAGCTTACACATTGAACAAAACACAATATGGTTACAATATCAGACACAACAAAACAACACTGTTCACATTATCAGATCTTGTGTAAATGGATGATATCAAACTTTACACATACACACAGAATCAGCTTCATTATCTCTTACAAAGTACACACACATACTCAAATGATATAAAAATGGAGTTTGGTCTAGACAAATGCAAAATACTTCATATTGAAAAAGGAATTCTGAAGAAAGGAGACTGTACTCAGAAGTTGAGATATTATTGAATCCATGGAAGAATGCAAGTTTCACAAATATTTACAATTCCAACAGACCAAACTTACATAACATGCATAGATAAAACAAAAATTAACACTCAAACAGATTATATGCAATACTAAAAACACACCTAAATGCAAAACATACTATTAAATGTATTAGTACCTATGTTGTCCATGTATTCACTTTTACTTTTGTGTTATACAATGGACAAGCACAGATCTCAAGCAACTCCAAAGGAAAACAAGAACAACACTTACTAAGTGTAAACCATATCACCCAAAATCATTCATAGAAAGACTAACACTTCCTCATAAAGAAGATGGCTGTGGTCTGACTAACTAATATAGTTAATCTGTACTACAAATAGTACTACAAACAAATACTGTGGGAGTTTTTCCACACAAAACACAAGAATACATAAAGCTATAACTCTGGCAGACAGTATGATGGAAGTGCCATGTGTTGCAAATATGCAACACACTCATCAAAAAACCCAGGCTGTATGTTGCAGAAATGGAATACACACTATATATTAAAATCTGAAATCTGAGCAAATGCTAGTTATATAAATACAGTATAATGGAAATAGTTAAAGCATGGCCTGTGGGAATAGATATACACTTGGTCTGGAAAATTTATTTTTTATGATAAAATACAAATAGGAAGTAAAAATAATAAAATCCATGGCCGGCGTTATTTACATTTAATACATTTTTTGTGAACTTTTTAAAAGTATTGCTGATGGTGAGAACGGCGAAAAGAAGGACAAATACAAAGTTTTTAGCTTTGTTAATAGTCGAATTTATATTTTTTATGTATTAAATGTAAATAACGCCGGCCATGGATTTTATTATTTTTACTTAAAATGTATTATTGTGAATATGGCAAGATCACCAGAGGACGCTTTACGTGTTTTTACATATTGTTACAGAGGTAGTAGCCTCAAAAGGAAGGTCGCCTCTGTGATTTTTTTGTGAACTTTTTAAAAGTATTGCTGATGGTGAGAACGGCGAAAAGAAGGACAAATACAAAGTTTTTAGCTTTGTTAATAGTCAAATTTATATTTTTTATGTATTAAATACAAATAGGAATTTAATTTTTTCTCTCATAAAATTTGAAAAATAACAACATTTGGCTCTTCTAATGTTTTACTTGCACAATGAATGTAAATTAGTACAATATCTCATAAAAATATAAAACACAAGAGCAAATATTCAAGAAACAAAACTTCATTTTCTCTCATTGAATGTAAACAGTAAAAAAATCCCAGCAACAAGTTACTTAACTTTCCTGGCAAGATTTGGTGATATCATCTGTTATGATATTTTATATTTTTAACTATTATAAAATGGCAAAAAGCTTAATTTTGAGGGTAGAGATGGGTTCTATAAAAAAAAACTTGTAAATGCTAATAACAAGTAAAATCGTCTGCTCGAGATACATATGACACCCTTTATCTCCCCACTCCCTCAACTTTTAATCACCAAAATTTAATAGCATCAATCCCCCTAATAAACAAACCTCCCTGCAAAATTTCAGAAATTTTCAACAAAAAGCACAAGAGTTATTAAGCTTCAAAGAGGGTGAGCAGAATTATGCCATACATACAGGAAAAAAACCCCAAATTTTTTTGCATTTCTCAATGTTTCAAGGTTCCCTGAGTCCAAAAATGTAAAAATCTTTTATTTGGTCATTTTTTAACCAATTGCAATACTTTCCCTCTGTTATATATAACAGCCATGAAAGTAAAAACAGTAGGAGTATTATATCAGTGATTATTCTATTTCTCTTAGATTTGTATTGGTCTATTTATACAACTTTAAATGTGATAGAAGTTATGTTGAATTCAAAAGCTGATGAGCAAACAAAATGGCATAACATGATCAGAAAAAACATCATTCAGGCTATGTATTGCAATTTTGCAACATGCCTAAAATTTGAGAAAAAAAATTTTTTAACAATTCAGAAAAAATTTTATTAAATAGCCATCATATTTGTGCTGTTTTGTTCAAAAAAGGACTATGGCCTAGGGTAATAATTTATGGCCCATTATTACGGTGATTAATTAATGTGTTAAAACAATTCTTAGGCATATTTAAAAAACAATGAATAATAGTATCAAGTTTAGTAAAAATATACTTTTAACTGAAATTTTGTTCACAATATCAATATACAGTAATGGACAACTCAATATTACTATATATAGTAAAATCCCCTTATATTTGTGATGACAAATCTAAAACAAGGTAAAAATGCCTTCATTTGGTATTTGGACCCAAAGAAAAAAAATCCACAAACTGGATTTTTCTCCAAGTCTATTATCGTAATCCATTAGATCCATTGATTCCACTAGTATAGTAATGCACTTTTCAATACGGACAAGTCTGTAATAATGAGTAATCATGATAAAATGGACTTTCGTTATAACCTGGAGCACCCGTACATTGACACACTTCCCCTTTTTTTTGTTTGGATTGTTCTCTTCCTAATGGGGCCCCAAATTTCATTAACAACAAACAATTCATGACTTCTAGATAGCCTATTCTGCAAATATAAAAGAAACTAATGAATAATATTTGTCCATTGTCCCATATAACTATTTTTTTATAGTTATTTATTTATCATACATTGACCAGAAACAAATTCCTTGTTTTCAAGTTCAAGTGAGCACTGAGTGCAACTTGTGCCACCTTGTGGGAGTGCTGATCTGATGTTGAACCATAGTTTGAAGCTTCTTGCATAATGTATGGTTCCCTTTTTTCATAGCTTGTGCCGCTGGTTATAATGAACCAATTTCTTCAGTTCTATGGGGGTCTGTTATATTGAGCTTTTACCATATTAAAGTTAGATAAATTTGAATTATTACATATTGTTGTAAAATAAACATGCTTTTAAAAAGCCTAGAAACAGTTTTATTAAACTTTTCGTAATAGATTTTAAAGGTTTTGAATAAATATTTGTTCATTTAAATAGATCTGATATAAGATAAACTTTGAAGAGTTTTTGATAACATTATAATATTGATTTCATAACAGTATAAAATATATTTACTTGTCATTGAAAGTTTTTTGCAAAAATCACATCAAAATATTTAAAGAAAACAGTTTTTAAAAGTTCCAAAATTTACCTTACTAATTTGGACAGCACCACCAATGAAAACATTTACCACTGGTAATTTAGGTTGTAATTAAGTTACAAGTACATAAAAATGTCAAATTTCAGTTGAGATGTATTCTTCACTCTACTAAAAGAACTTACAAAAATAATCATTCTTAAACTTTTAAAACATTTTTTATTTTATAATTAGGCCTTGATCAACTAAACAATTAATATTCTGATGGCTCTATTATTTGATTAATTACATTTGCCTATGAATATTTCATTTTCATATGATGTGGACAGTATGAATAAAGCAATGAAAAAATATAAAAATATGAACTTTGAGTGATAAAAATTGTTCTAAGAAATTAATAAGAAAACATTAATTTTCTTAAAAAGTACATAAATAATAATAATTTTTTGAATTAACTGAATTGAAATTTTTTCTTTCTTAAATTTTGAAAATTGAGAATTTTTTGTAAATTAATTGGGTTTAATCTTGGATTGTAGACATATTTTAATTAAATTTGGTTATAAAAAAATATTTAATTATTGATATGTTAATATTTTATTTTCAAATTGGTAAAAATAACAGTAAATTAAGAATATATACTATATAATTTAAACTTTTAAAAAATTTTTCTATTTCATTTTATGTGATATAAATAAAATGTTATTTATTTATTTATTTTAGGTTTTATAAATTATAATCCAAATAATTTACATTCCATGGCACAGTTGCCTGGTAAGTTTTGCTCTGTATACTTTTTTGTATTTATATTTATTAGTTAAATTATATTAGAGAATCCAATAGAGAATATTTCAGTGAAAATCTATATATTATAATGCATAAGAATAAAAATAAAGTTTTTATAAATCCATAAAATTTTTAAATAAAATCGTTCAAAATCATTTCATCATTACCTCTGTTATAATTAATGCAATAAAACCTGATTAACATTAATTTAAAATAATACATTTTATAACATTTTTTTACAGAATTTATCACTTAAACTAATGCATGCGTTAGTATACAAAAAATTATGAATATACAAATTTACATTAATAACTAGTAGCTATGAAACAAAATATAGAAAAAACAGTGTACAATAAAATTTTGTAAAATGTTGATAAAATGCATGTAAAGTAAATAAATGCATTAATTATATATATATATACATATATATAATGGATTAATTTGCATATATATGAATCCATTTAACATATTCAAGATATATTTCTTCATATTTTCGTTTTGTATTAAAATACATGTTAATAGTTAAACTTAATGCTAACTGTTTGAAACAAACAGTTTCAAACAGTTTTCATTGATAATGATTAAAAATTGTTATTTCAATTGAGAAATATTTGTCATTTAATTTTTTTTTTTGTTATTTATATTTTAAAATTGTTTTTGTTCTGCTGGTAATAATATATTTAAATTTGACATTTAATGTGAATTATATTGTAAGAATTTAATTATTTTTATCAGTAGATGAATATAGAATACAACTAATATGTACTATTGAAAATATGTTTAGAGGCATACAGTACAGCCTCGATTATCTGACTCGACTGGGGTTGGTCAGATAATTGAAAAGTCGGATAACCGAAAAGTATGAAAAAATCCATTATTAGTGTAGTATATTATTATATCCCATGTAATTAGTATATTAGTATATTATTATATCGCTATTAATCTACTTCGCGTTGAATTTTCACCAATGTTAGGCTTAACAAAAATTTTTTTTAATAATAGTCGTCGCTATTGTATTGTTAAAAATTAGAAAATTAAGCCTCATTTAAATACTGGCTCCCTTTCATGATCGAATGAGTGTTGCCAGCTAAAACACGTAAAAATAATATTAAAGTAGCCAAGACATAGCCAAACATTGTAGCGCCACATCACTAGCAGACATTTGAAATTTGCCGACTAGGACGGTCGGTTAACCGAGGTGTTGGTTAATCGGGGGTCGGATAATCGAGGCTCTACTGTATTTGGCTTTAACAGTTTATTGAGTAAGTATTCTAATAATGCTATAATAACTGTTTTGATATTGTAATTACTGCTACTTTTATGTTGGCTGGGTTTTTTTTTTTCCTTCAAATATTTTCTGCTTGTCAGATTTGAGCATTTTACTTATAAATCTCAATTCTGTTTAAAGTCTTATTTTAATGTGTAGATAACCTTCCTGTTAATATTGAAAATATTAATTAAGTACTGGAAAATTAATTAATGGCGTATAGAAAATATATAAAATTAAACAGCATACTATATTCTAACATAATATACTTGTAAAAATAAATCAAACATTTTTTGAAACAGTTGATCAGTTAAAATATGATCAAAAAAACCTTCCAATGAATAAGAAAGAATTGAATTATTGTGATGAGATTAGAAAAAAGATGTTATCAATTAAGATCTATAGCTGTGGTGATGATTGTTTAAATTACATTGTTAAAATATAAACAAAATTTGACAATAATTATTTTATACCAATTTGAATACGTTAATTTTGCATTTTAGAGATATTTTTACACTTGCAATACTTCTACTTATTTTAATCTTAATAAAGTAGTTAATAAATTTATTAAATGTTTTAATTCTTCATTAAGTTTATAATGGCTACAATTAAAGTATTTGAAATTTTAGTTTTGTTTTGTTTAATTTGTTAAAATGGTTAATTCTCTTATTTTGAATGCTTTTACTTTATTCTTTATTTAAATAATTTTAAGTTTCAAATATTAAGTATATTTAAGAACTTAAAATTAACATGTGAGTTTTTAAATTTAATAGTCTAAAATCTGTGTGCATAAATGCAATTGTTATAATATTTTTTTTTTTTTATTAAATATGAACTTTTTGTTTTATTCTGAAAGTATCTGATGTACTGACGCAGAGGTTTAGAAAGCTATGAAAAATGTTTTAAAGTAAATTATGATATTTGAGGCGGAGCATTAGTGAAATCTCTTCTATGTGGCTTACAGAATTGCATTTGTTCTCAAAATCTGTTCAATTGATTTTGATAAAACTTTGTCATTTTTATTAATTAATATGAAGAATCCAAAAATGAAATAAAAAATGGGGGTTTACGAATGTTTACAAGATAGAAGGTCCTAACAAGAGCATGTGTGATAAAGCAATATTGTACAAAATTGAGCAATGCCCCTAGGTCACTAGCATGTCTTCCATGTGGCGTACAGAACTGAGTTCATTCTCAAAATGTGATTGGCCAATTTTGATAAAACTTTGCCATTTTATATTGATTGCAATGAAGAATCCAGGAGTTTAATAAATGTAAATGTAGAAAATAGGGATCCATGATTTCGTTTTTTATATAAAGCAGGGTCAAAGTGACAATGTTTGTGTTCCTTAAGCATGCCTAACAGAATTTAGGGGTCAAATAAAAAAAAAACAGCATTGCATACACCTAACAGAAAATAGATGCAAAAAATGAACAGAACACAAGAACAAAGCAATTGGCATTGATTGCTTTGTTCTTGGATTGCCTCTCCATGTCATAAAGTGCAAGGATTATTTCTGTGCTTGGCCAGTGCAAGGTTCACATTTCCCATGTCTGACAGGGTGTGAGGATCACATTTCCTATGTCTGACAGGGTGTGAGGATCACATTTCCTATGTCTGACAGGGTGTGAGGATCACATCTCCCATGACTGGCAGGTGCAAAGATAGCCTCTTTTGTAGCAGAAAGTGCAAAGTTTGTCTGTCTGTGACTGTCAGATACAAGTTTTGCCTTTTCTGTATCTAACAATTTCAAAGATCACTTTTTTCTTTCTGGCTCCATCTCATTTCTATCACGATACAACAGTCATGCAATGTCCTAGTTACATTTATAGACTTCTACATTTTTATAAAATTATTTAGGTCTCTATTCAATATGATGTGATAAATAATATCAATGATATAACTAAAAAATTTTTAAATTTTTGTTTGATAGCATTTCTATAATAAATGAAAATCAATAAAATATGTCAGTTGGCATAAATTTATTTATGGAAATACATAATAAAATATAATTATTGATTTATTGTAATTTAATTATACTTTGTAATATATACAGCTCTTTGACATTTATGTATCTATACAATAGATACATAAATGTCAAAGATAATTACCAGAATCCTAAAAATTTTGAAAATTAAATATTGAACTCAACAATAAAAATAATAATGTCATTCACAATTCAGTAATAGCTAAAGTTTGAAAAACTTTAGTTTCAAACTTTAGCTATTACTGAAAAATCAATTTTATAAATTTTTCCAGAAAATTTGTTTTATCACTAGATCCTTCATACTATAATGGAAAAGTTTAGAAGAAAAGCAAAGGTTTTTTCTGCTGTATCCCACATAATTTTTCCTTGTTGTTATATCTCAAATTTGTTTCAATATTAAATTAAATTTAAAAAAATACTATGAAATGAACACATATAAATAAGATGAAATTGACTTAAAAATCCAAGAATGTAAATCATTTTCCTTTTATAATATTTACATTACTTATGAAGTTTTTGTTTACAGATATTTTTGTACATTGATAAGCTCTCAGATTTTGCAGATAATTGCTAATTATCCAGTTTTATTCCAAGATAATGGTCATTATCATTACAAATAAAACATAATTATATATAATCACAAAGTTTGATGTATTAATAATAATCCAATTTATATATTATCATATATGTCACATATTACAATATACTATGTTTCATTTGATGACAATTGTGATAAGCAGTCAGCACTAACAACAAAATAAACATGCCATTTAACCACTAAATCAATTTCCTAAGCCAGTGTTTCTCATCCTCTAATGAATTGTTGCCCCTTCAATAAAATCGTTACGTAGTATTGCCCCCTTCACTTCAAAAAAGATTTTGTTTGTTTTATTAATTTATTTGATAATTATATACTTTGTAAAAAATTAAACATTTATTTACTCAGAATACGTATTAGATTTTGATATTATTAACAAAATTAAAATTAAGCACTATTCGCTGTGAATCCCCGCTGCAAGCTTTGAAATTTTGATGCTGAGGACCGAGGCTAATGCCAAATTCATATTGTAATGAATAGACTAGGGACTAGTATAATGTTATTTGTTTAATTATTGTACGATATAACGAATAAAATATCTAATTATTCTTAATATAATGCTTCACTATATTGCCCAGAAAATTGTTTTTTGCCCCCAAAATATAAATTGTTACTAATTGCCTCCAACATGGAAAAACGCCCACATGGGGCGATATTGCCCCTGTTGAGAAACACTGTCCTAAGCAAATTATTGTGGTATTCAAATGTTAAACAATGGTAATGATTGTGATTCTGAGTCTAATTTCATTTCAAAAGTAGTTTAAATAGACAAATTTAATTGTTAGAAATTATAATGTTGTAACAATTACTTTTAATCTACTCCTTATACATCTAAAATTTCAACTAATAAGTAATTTATTTCATAAATTTTTAAGGCAAAACTTACATTTCTCTGCACATAACTTATGGACTATCTGTGTTTAAAAGACAATTTAAAAGGAATTTTATTATGTAATGGTGTTATATGCTAATTTTAAGTTTCAATTACAAACTTGATCTACAGAGCAATAGCTGCTTAATAAGTATAGGACAGGTATGGCCCACATATGGCCTGCGGGCCAGATCTGGCCCGTCTAATGAATTTATGTGGCTTGCGATCAATCTTTCAATATTAGCTACGCAAGTTCAAATAGCT